ATTCATTTCAATAAATTCAGGTTCATAGCGAACAATATAGCATCATTTGCATATAAACTTGCACATTCACATCCTAACCAACACACCTTTAATGACATCACAAGTATTCCTTATACATGTATTCATAAAGATGTTAGACAGGGAGACACCACACATCTTTTTCTTATGTTCTGATCAATGTCGAACCATTTCCATTTACTCTTACGCTCTTTGTTGCTCTTCTTGCATGCAGCAACCAATGTTCAATTCCACTTTCATGCAAAACATTGCACATTTCAAACCTATTCATTTAATCATTTGTATTTATTTTTCTACCACTGGAAGACCTGAAAGAACAGGTTAGGGACAGACTGTTATGCAGNCTGTTAAATTATTGCTTACGGATAAGTAATTTAATCAAATCTAAGATGAGGTTTTAGGCTCGTTTCTTACTATTAATACATCTCACATACTTTTGTTATATATCATTCTGTTTTATGAAAATTTCATGTTTTAGGAAAAAAACTGTAATTAATTCAAACTGATTTATAATGCACTGTTTACCTTCTTAGTAGCAAATACATTTAATGGTTTTATCAAGCAAAAAGGTGTTTACTAGGAAAATCTTCCTGATCAATAGAATTCCCAAGAACAAAGTCAAATCTATGCAAATTGCTAAATTTATATAGATTTGACCTTGTTCTTGGGAATTCTATTGTTCTTTAAATCTTCTTTTACAAAAGACAAAGGGACACTATCTTGCTAGTCCATGTACATTCCCCGAAATTTCATCTTATTTTGTCATACTTACAAACCCAAAATTATGCAAACTGTAGAAAAGCAGTTAAGAAAAGTCACCACTCTTGTTCAGTTGCTACCCATAACCAATGCTTACCTGATGTGCCATATAAAGTACACAGCTTAAGTACATTTCTATTACATTCGAGTTTCTTATGTTCTGCTAAAATATGTATTGCTTACAACAGATCACATACTCACCACTGTTCTGGCATCTGAACATCTTAAAATTTCCCTATTTCTAACTCTAATAAACATTCTATCAAAGTACAAAGTTCATACATTTGCACAAGTTCATACTTGCACTCATTTTTAACATATATGTGTAACTTGTAAATGTTCGTTCTTTTTTATTTATTTAATTTCTATGCTGCCCATCTCTGACTACTTTGATTAAAGAAAAGAATAAGTACTTTTGCTGCCCATCTCACTGATCTAGGAAGTCTGGGCAGCTTACAATAAGTTAAAACAATTAAAATTAGACATTAGAAAAAAATGAATAGAAAAAATGCAAACTTAAAAACCAAAATGATAAGCAGCCTTGAGGTGAGAAACTTATCTATTTTCTCTATTTTTTTTCAGTAAAACACAATCATCTGAGTCTTTGATTAGTTGGTTTTTGGGTCCATACTCCTCATGGCATCATGAATGTATCTAACATTCATTTCAATAAATTCAGGTTCATAGCGAACAATATAGCATCATTTGCATATAAACTTGCACATTCACATCCTAACCAACACACCTTTAATGACATCACAAGTATTCCTTATACATGTATTCATAAAGATGTTAGACAGGGAGACACCACACATCTTTTTCTTATGTTCTGATCAATGTCGAACCATTTCCATTTACTCTTACGCTCTTTGTTGCTCTTCTTGCATGCAGCAACCAATGTTCAATTCCACTTTCATGCAAAACATTGCACATTTCAAGCCTATTCATTTAATCATTTGTATTTATTTTTCTACCACTGGAAGACCTGAAAGAACAGGTTAGGGACAGACTGTTATGCAGGTTCCACTTTTGATGCTATTAATATATGGTTTACAGCACATTCAAATCACCGCATCTCTCTTGTATTTTTCTGTGATTCTCTGGTTGTTCCATCCCAAATAAAACCATCATTTTTTTAAAAATCCAATTCTATATTTGTTTTGTATGTACAGATTTAATATATATAGATCATGTATTTTAATAAAAAAAAAACCTTAACTCTAGTTACTTACCGAATAGTAAATATTCTCACTTAGTCTTGGGATCATTTTCTAAACTTTCTCCAGTCTACTCATGTCACCTAGCAGAATAATTTTACCTTTTGAATTCCATTCATGGCATACACTTTTTCAAAAACTTTTTGATGTTCAATTATTAGATATCTCTGGTCACTAAAATGTACTATTCAGCTGCCACTAACATATGGATTTTTAATTTCAAATGCTCCAACAATCTATATAGTACCAATTGACACCTTCTTATACCTTTCATTTAAATGAAACCTACAAATTAATTTTGTTCTGTGTATTAATCAGTTATGCATTACAAGTTCAAATCATTTTCAGTAACTCCCCACTTTTCTCTTAAGTTTCATACACATAAACATAACTGTTTTTCTTTCTTTCATTTGTTAATTCATATTTTACTTCTCTTACATTCCAATCTTTATATATCTATGATATATATATATCATCACCAAATGGGCTTACAGATGTTGACTTCTGCATGTTATGGCATATTATTTCCCACATTATTTTTTATAAATAACTCACAATGGCTAACATACCTAATATTCCTTCATCTTATTTTCTCCACAACAATTACCCTGTCAGATGGGTTGGGATGTGATTGAGGGACTGGTCCTACATCACTTACAGTTGACTTTCTTAGCCTAACTCATGCCTAACTTAATGCAGGACTAGAATCTCCTAGTTTTTAGCCTTGTGCTTTAATGTTGTAACAATGCAAGCATCTTCCATTATGCACTTTGATTTTGTTCAGATCCACAATCAAAAGTGAGTTACAACAATCACTATACTAATAACCATTCTCACTCAAAGGCCCCCAATTCTTTCTCCTGCCCTCTTCATTTATTCAGCTTCCCATCACACTTCTCTTAACTACTTGAAGGATGAGCTCCTATATTCTTTTGAGCACAAGGTTGATACTTTCTAACTAAAGAACGGGGCTTAAAAGAACAAATGAATGGGCATTCACTTCCTAGCACTATTCCAAAACCCCTTGAAAATGAGCCTTTCTTTTTCATTCCAACCATCTAATGTTCAACACCACACCAGATGTTTTCAATGTACTTTTCTCTCCACAAGCATCCTCTATTTACCATCCACCCAAATTTTTGCTCTCCAGGTATGTTGGTTTTTAATTTGCCATGATTCCATAAAGCACAGACACCTTAGGCGAGTTGAAGCAGCCTACACAACTAGAGGTGATGGGTTAGTAGATGAAGGCTGCCTTTACCCTGTTGTTAATTTGCCTTTTTGTCAGGCAACGACTAATCCACAATGAAAGTTACTGTTAAGGCTGCATTACTATTAATATTAGTCTTCTCATCTTCCTATTACCCATCTCCTCCCACTTATGACTGCAGGACTGTAAC